TCAAACTGCGACCGAACTACTACTGCTCAAGCAAAACGTATCTAAAGGCTTGCTTATATTTGCTGTTTAGCTTCATGCTGTGGAATAATCGTTCTCATTGGCATCTTGTTCAATTTACCAGCCTACTACTGCGTACGACAAGACGATGAGAAATCAGTAAAGCATCGTGATACTTTTCAGGGTCCACTGTCTCAGATATTAGTAAATAAATATTTCCCGATAAATAGAAAATTTCTCAAGGTTTTTCGAGTTATTAACTTTAGTCAAATACCTATTTCTGGTTAAATAACACATATTTCGCACTATGCAATTACATAAGTGTTTCGTGTGACTGGCAACATGACTGAAGTTCACACTTCTTTCTGTCCTCTTTTCACATTGCAGTCCGCCCATAGCTTCAATGGTATCGTATCTAATGCATGTAATCATGAAAATATAGAACATACACTTTTTTGGTCCTTGAAAGCAATAAATCTAACCAGCCTATTAAATAATAGTTGGTTCCAAACAGGAATACGCTAGCATCATGTGGTTGTCGCATCGAGCCTTCGAACTTAACAAGCTTGGTTTCGTTCAAAAAGAAGCATCATATTACATCAACTATGATTTTCCTTGAAGTTCGAGCTTTACAGCTATATAAGCAATCTGGCCTTGAGACTGCTAACCCATAGAACAAAAATTTCCTGTATTGTTTTCATCCATTGTATCGACAATTAGTCTTGTACCGTAACAAGTTATGGGCAACATGATGATGCGCGCGCAGCAGACGAAAGCAGAGACCTTCATTAGGCTAAAGTGCGAGGTTCTGCCGACATTTAGAGCGACATTAAACGAGCTTTTCTGACCACTTGCACGAGTACATCGGCGGTTTCCGCATGAACTGCAAACGAGAGCGAGAGCGACCAACGATTCTGCGTCAGAACTTGTCAAACCTAAAACATAGACGTTTGATATGATTCCACAGGCTTATCGGGAGGACGTTGTGAGTTATGCGAGACATTTTAAGTGGAACTCGCGCTTCATGAGTGGCAGAACATCACTGAAAGACAAGGACAAGTAGGACGGCCGTACCCTACCTCTGTTCTTTTTCAAGTGCTGTTCTTCCATTCTTGAAGCACGACCGTCACTCAAAACACAGCGCACGCTGCTTCTTCTTCATAAAGCTGCGAAATGATTTGCAAAAACTCTGTTCCAGATTTGCCAAGTTTGACGCAGGATTAATGCTTGCTCTTCGCTCTGATTTGCAGCCCATGCTGAAACTACTGATGTGCTCGTGCACATGGTCGCTATAGTTCGTGTAGCGCAGCTTCAAATGTTCACAGAACGACGCACTTCGGCCTACTAACACATGAAGGTTCCTGCCGTCGACGGCTGCGCGCTCATCACTGTGCTGCCTTTTTCTTTGTGCTACAAAATTAGATTCGGAACGTTTTGATCGTGCCTCGTATTTTTAAAAGACTTCCTTTTGCGTTAACAAGTCTAAATCATCCCCTAAATTTTCGGCCCTTTTATTTTTCCGCAAACGATAAGTTTTAGATTGAACTCCTTTGAGTTGCCTTTTCAGACAATAATTTATTACCAGAGGATATCGTCCATGAAACTGGTCCGTTCCGAATTTTTCTACACATACCAATTATTTTAGAGCGCAGCTCTCAGGCGCCCGTTTCCGGGTTGAGAGGCGTCAGTGTCGGCGCCGCCATCGCCGTCGGCGTAACCGCCCCGCTAAATTTAGCGGGAAATTGAATTGGTGTTAGGTCACGTGACGTCAATTTCCACGCTAATTGGTGTTAGGTCACGTGACTCCGTTTCCCCCGTCACCCGCGAACAACTTCAGAGGGAGGAGGAGAGGAAGAGGAAAATAGGAGGAGAGGAGGATCGGGAGGAAAGGAAGGGGAGGTAGAAAGAAGGAGGGGAGAAGGACAAGGGGCACACCTTCCCTTCCGTATCCTCCCATCCTCCTCCTCAAGAGCTGTGCTCTAGTTTCGCGTTACAGAGGTTTGTTAACGTCTTAATCTTTTCTCGAAATTTGTTTAGTATTTGCTTCTTAGTGTTTTGCCTTAAAGATTTTTTGGCTCATTAATGTTTTTTTTTAAATATTTTCCTCCTCATTAATATGGGGGAAGGAATGCGCTTAACCGAATCAAAATGAGACAGAAGCATACAACATAATAACGTTTGACGGTTCCTGCCTTCGAAGGCCGCGCGCCCATCACCGTGTCGCCTTTTTCTTTACGCTAGAAAACTAGTCCCGGATCTTTTTGATAGCACTTTGTATGTTGAAAGGTCTCATTTTACATTTATAGGCCATTATCATTCCATATAGTTTTGGTCTTTCTTTTTTCCGAAAACACAGTTTAAGTTCGATTCATTCCAGTTGCAATTTCCGACAATAACTTATTTCCCGTAGATATCGTTCACGAAATGAACCGTTCCAAATTTCGCTATATATTTTTTTTTTGTTTATGCAGTATTTGTTTCAGTGTTCTGTTTTACTTCTTTATTATTTAGCTCAATAATGTTTTGCAGGTTTTCCTCCGGATTAAATATAGGGGAAATAATTCGTTTAAAAATAAAGGGAAAAACATCATACTCAACAATCATACCTGTTTATTGCCATATAAATATATACCTTTTATTCGAACTAAAAGCGGCGTAAATTCCAGAACTAGCAATACAACTGTGAAGTTAATTTCTACTTTATTACTTGCGGCTGTAAATTCGTTCTCTTCGAAACTACTTCGGGATAGTTTTTCATCTCCCAGCGCCTAACACAACGACATTCATGCACAACGTTTCAAGCTTCGTTTGTCGATTTTTCCTCGTGAATTTTTCGGTATAGAATCAACAAACACAACCCCTCCGTAGAGATGCTTGTGGACAGCGAGGCGATCTGAAATAAAATATAAAATCAAAACACACGATCAGGTGAACCGCCAGTCGCGTGCGCTCAGTTTTCTGTAATTTGCCTTTCCTTTAACCTATGCTTTGCTTCACCTTGAAGTACAGGGTGTCACAAAAGAAAATTTACGCGGTCTTTTTTACCGCAAAAATAAACTAGGCACATGGTTGAAAAAACCCCGAGACTACGGGTAAACGACACAACACTAAAAAGTCTTTTTAGTGTTGTGTCGTTTACCCGTAGTCTCGGGGTTTTTTCAACCATGTGCAATGTACACCAGCTCGTTTGCGCCCTTACTTTTTGTTCATAAACTAGGCATCGCCGAATGCTCATTCTCCGCCCAAAGGTAGAGCTAGAGGTCACAACCAGATGACAAAGTTTCAGCCCCATCCGATAAGTTAATCAAAAGTTATTAGTGATTTTCTGAAAATCTCAATGGGAAAATGGAGCCCATTTTCGCCCGTTTTCGGTTTCTGTTGCCATAGAGCCCCATGTGTTTGAAAACTCCGTCGGCCGCCATTTTCCCATTAAAATTTTCAGAAAATCACTTATAACTTTTGATTAAGTTATCGGATCGGGCTGAAACTTTGGCATCTGGTTGTGACCTATAGCACTACCTTTGGGCGGAGAATGAGCGTTCGGCGATGCCTAGTTTATTTTTGCGGTAAAAAAGACTGTGTAAATTTTCTTTTGTGACACCCTGTATTACTCACGTATTTGTGTTCTTTCGACAGCTTTGCGAGGGCTTGTAACCGCCGACGACGAGAGAACAACGCAGTGGCGCCATCTATTGGGTAGATTTTGCCGTTTTTGCGAGACGAAACCTACGCGACTTATTTGAAGCAGACGGTGAAAGACTGTCGCGTAAAATATGGGCAGATCCTGAATGTTCCAGGATTACCCGACAGATGGCGCCAGTGACTTCTCTCGTCGTAAGCGGCTGCAGTTGGTATCGGCGAAGTCGACCAGACACGCGCGAAAATGTGGACCGGCTTTTTCACGTGCTGCGGCGAAGGTTACAGCCTCCAGATGCTTCCTCAAGGAAGTACCTCAACTGCACGAACTCTTCAAGCAGGAGCAAATGCCGAAGCTGTGATCTAGGGTTTTATTGCCTTCGCTGCGGTAGATCTAAAGTTGAAAAGGGGCATAGCTTTAGGACGTACCCCTCAGACTTGTACGAAACAAGTTACACGTACCGTGGAATACCTCGCATCCGCTCATTCCACACTGAGGGCCCATTCCCAAATTTGTAAGATCTGACAAAATACGCACAGTACATTTATATGTAAAATTCATGCCCATCTTCCATTTTTTCGCGAATATCTCCAAATTTCGAACGGACGCTTGCCCGGTACTGTACCGTTACTGATTATTTGTAATCAATTACATTTTACTGTAACTTTTTAGCGCTTTAATTACTTTTTCTTAGACGGTAAGGTTCGCTTTACTTCAATAGCTATCTTTATCTAATTAATTACAAGTAATCAATTATATGTTTCCGAAAGAGCTAAAATTGTTGAGCTGAGTTTTTTTACGTAAAAACAAAAAACAACATAAAAAGCCTCTCTATGCCCGTGCATCCGTCGTCTATGTTGCAACAACCGTCGGCACTCTTTTGAACCCGTAAACAACTACAAAAGTTTACGAAGATACCAGAAGGATTAGAATGTCAACGCGCTCATCGACGTTTCGACTGTCGAGCTGCCGAGAGTTCCTCGTTTCCTGTGTGCGGGTTGTTACGATCCGGGTGTGCCACGGCATAGACGACTGTGTTTTGCACTGACCTCATCTAGCCGCCTCCTCCCCCCCCCCCCCCCCCCCCCCCCCGCCCCCAAATTTCATCTTAAAGGCCCGTTCACACAGTAGCGTTCGGAGCAACCACTATGCTTACGAACGAATGCAACCGCTTGGAACGACGAGTTGCCATGGCAACGGAGCGCCAAGCGGTCGTTTCGTTCGTGTTCGTTCGCAACGCAAGGAGTTGAACGGAGCTCAACTTTCTCCTTGTGCACGGGAACGACCGGAACAACAGACCAATCACGAGTCGAGGTGCCCGCAGCCGCGCGCGTTGTATGCCGGTCGTGAGTCTATTCTCCCTTGACAACATGGCGGCTCCTCCGGTGGCTCCTTGCTCGGAAGAAGCGCTCATTCAGGAAGTTGAGCGCTATCCGTGGTTATGGAATGCCAGCCGAATGGATTACCGGGACACGGCAAAGCGAGATAATTCCTGGAAGGCTATTGGAATCGCTTTGGGTGAGTATGACCTCTTCACAGAACTATATAATTTGCGCCTCGGCCCAGGGCGTCTCTCTGGATGCCCTGCCTTCGTCGCGCGCTCGTTGCCTTCTGCCAAGCTTTCGCTGCGCATGCACGCTCGCGTTCACGCGCAGCTGCACGCGTCTGGGCGTTCCCACTCGAAGCTGGCAAGCCGCCAAAGTGCTATCAAAGGTTCGTTTTGGGTCACGCCAGAGGCGGGACTGCCAAGAGACTTCCCTGCCGTTCGCAAAGAAAAGTTTAGATTGTTTTGCATGCCAAACCAAGGAAGGCCATCGCATACCTCAGCGATTAATTTGCACCACCTGGGATTCTTTGGACGTGAAACTGAAATCTCGGTTGCACGGCGCCTTCTCTCCAATGAACCTCGGTCAGATTGCGGGCTCCTCAGCTAGGATTCCAACCCGCCAACTGGGGATCTGATTCTTTGTGCCGGCGGTTTGTCTCGGAGTCACTGATGCGGCCTCCGTGCAGCCATCCGTTACCAAACATTTCCGAGTGGGCAGCGCATACCTCGTTTGCGTACCTCGCATAACCGTTTGCCAAAATTATGGTACGAAATGGGAAGCGATTATTGATCGAGCGATCAGTAATGAAGAGATCAAACTGGTAGAATCCTACATTTCAAGAAGTTGAAGAAGTTTTGTAAAGTTTTGGCTGAAAGCTGGCAAGCAAACCTGATGCATGTCTGTTGCACCTATTGGCTGTCCTTATTGAAGTTGTATTAGAAATCTAGTTCAATCTTGATTTCTGTTCTAAAACTTGTCTTCATAAGCGACACTTTAATTATTTATGCCACATTTACTTCTTTCACTTCAGGCAGCGACTCTAATGCCTGCTGTCAGGCTTGGCGGGCCTTGAGGGCCAAGTATGCAAGGGAATCCAAAAAACAAAGTGGCCGGAGCGGTGCTGGCCGCGATGATGTTCCTGCGACGACATGGCACCTGTTTAAATATCTCGCATTCCTCAAGGGCCAGATTCAGCACCGACGGTAATATGCTACATTACTTACTGCCAAGAACACGCACAGTTGATCCCGAGTCTGAGTTTAACACATTTTTACTTTCTTCTATCAGCACCAGAGTGCTCCCTGTTGCCAGGGGAGTGGCATCCACCTCTGCAGCGGCAGCAGAAGCAGAAAAGTCGTGCATGACCCCTAGAGGTAAGTTTGCTTACACGGTAACAAAATCTAGAAGCGATTTGGGATCACCTACTTTCTCCTACAAAGTCTTGTGGTAAAGCAAAAAATGAAGGTCAAGGACATTGTGAAAGACAAACATGCTTAGCATGTGCGAGTGTTGTTAGGAAGGGAAGCATATTGCTTCTTTCCACACGCTAAGCTAGATGCCATGTTGACAGACGTTTGCCCCATGTCGTTCTATGTGCGGAGGAAGTGTTCTCCAGCTCACTTGATTTCTTTCGCGTCAAGATTTACCTCATGTACTGGAGCCATCGGCGACAAAAAAGAATAGCGTCCGATGCTCGCTTTTCATTTGATTTTTGTACCTACCGGTCTTTATTCGGAGTGCAGAAGAGCTAGCTAACTTGAGGTCAACCCGTCGGTGGCCAGAATGATCCCCGGGGGTACTATTTTGGTCATGGGTGAGAGCGAGATTTCTCTTTCAGTGATGTGATTGCTGTGCCAAGGGGCTAACCCTGCTACATCCAGCTACATTTTGCCAAAATATTGGTAATCTGCGCCAAGCCTGCGCCAGAGGACCAATTTAGGTCGCCTTTCAAAACCACTAAACTGAGGCGCCAGCTGGGACGCTTGCAATTCATTGTTTTACGTTTGCTTTCTTTTGACGAAAATCTGGCACTTCGGGAACCAGTAAAACGGTGGCAAGCAGTTTTTCGAAATTGCTTGGCAATTCCTACCGCACTGTACACTTGTGGGATGTCTGCGCAGTAAGAAGACAGAAACAGCGAGTTTCGTCTCAACACGTCACATCAGAACTCAACAAAACACAAAGTGCCCTTTGTTTCTACAGCACTCAAAACAAATATTTTAATTTTCCTAAGAATATCTGCTCCAAAATCCACTTTTGCTGCTCCGAAATACTGTCCTGGCTGGTCCAAAAGCCACTTTTGCTGCTCCAAAACACTGTTTTAATTGCTACAAAGGCCACATTTGCTGCTCCAAAACACTGTTTTGGTTGCTTAGGTCAATCACATCAGTTGATTAGATCTGGGACAGTTCCCGTTCATTATCGACTAACGGAAGTTCATTATAGACTAACGGAATAAAATTAGATCTGTTTCCCAGTCTACGGTCGGGCAATATTTCGGTGACAACTTCTTGCCTACACACAAATGAGAAGAGAGGTCTTGCGGCTTCTGATTTGCCTGACCCAAATCAGCCTTCATCTATTGGTCAATATTAGGATTTGTATGGCAGCAAAACAATTTCAGATTTGCTAATAGCCTCGTCCCACTAGAGCGACAAACACCGATTTTTGTCCGACGACACCACAAAGTTCCGTGTTGCCGATGCTGCCCCACTGGAACGACCAACACCCGCGACAATTGCCGACAAACAATCGACGACGGACGAGTTTTTGTCTGCCGTTGGACTTGAAGTGCAGCAAGCAGTCCCACTGAGAAACATGTCTAGAAGACAAACTTATCCTCCTTGCCCACTTGTGCCTTCCCTCTTTTCTACCCTTCCTCCCGTTTTCCCCGTGCCTCGCTCTGCCGCTTGACCTTCAGAGAAGCCCTTGGCGGCCACTCCTCGTTCCCGCAATTCCGGTCCCTCGATTGTGCGTAGTGGTTGCGGTCGCGGCTTGCTTGCTGGCGCCGGTAAGTCGAGTTGCGAAAGGAAAATTTCTGTAGCTGGTTTTGCTCGCGAAAGCTTGGTGCGCGAGGTGGTGCTTTAAGATGCCGAGGTCTACGCCCCTGCATCAGAATGGATACACTCATGTTCGAGGACTGACCAAAGTAAGACCGCTCTCTACGAAGTAGGACATGATGTTCCGCGGCAAACCATTCCGGCTGACGAGAGACTTGTCATCACGTTCTGTGATAATCGGGATGCCGTATTGTCCTCCCAAAAACGCCTGCCCTCGATTATTCGGATGTGAAGTTATAAACATCCTCAAAATCGGCGTAAAATTCCGTGGCGCTCACCTACAATACCTCGAACGACCCAAAAAAGGAACGATTTGGGTATTCTAGTTCGGAAAAAGTTTGGTGTCGATTGTCACGACTGTTTGCGGAAAGTTGCCTACGGCAAATGAAGACAAGCGGAAGCTTTAATCAAGAACTAAAGTAATCGTCTCCACTTTCACCGTGTTTGTCAGCGCGCTTTATGCCCAAAGAGCAAAACATGAAAACTGCGTCGCCAGACTCAGTTTGTCTGTGCATTTTGAAGTGTTTTGTTGACAACTCCAGTCCCACTAGGAAACAGGTTTCCTTGTCCCCGTGTTCTGCGTCGTGTCCGCCAGGTGGGATGGCGGACTCCGACAAACAGACTGTCTGTCGGTGTCGTCTGTCGCTCGTTGTCGTGCGTTGCTGTCGTTTGTTGCTGTCTGTTGCTCTATGGGATGCGGCTATAAGGAACCACAGGCCTGGCGATTACTTCCAATGTCAAATTCCAAACAATAGTTGCAGCCTGTGTTCGGTTTAACTTCACCGCGGCATTTGGTTCGTAGAACATAATTTGCTTTCTATTTTTGGTGTAATATCAGATCACTTAAAGGTACACTAACAGGGTATTTATGCTCGTCAAGGTTTTTATTTGTACTTGACATACAAGGACCCAACTACCCAGAACACAATTTGCGGCTCAAAACTTGTTGTCTTTCCGCCCGAAAGCCGCCGATTGAGAGCTGGTTGGTTTAAGTCGCGCACACTCTCTTTTTTGTGGTCACATGCTGGTTTCTATGGTTAGAAACAACCACCCAAGCTAATCAAAGTCGTGGGTCATCGAAGGCACACACTCAATACTAGAAATCAACAAAAATATGATACACATTTTTTGTGGCTTCTAAAAAACTGCAAATACGTTGATTGAAAAAAAGAAAAAAGTAGCACAGACACGTGATTTCTGGTATCTTTCTCCTCTATATTTCTTCCTCCCCAGTCCAGTTTCGGTTTCAGTGTCGAGCAGTTGCGTTTTTGGACTTCATGAAAAATATATGTGACGCTGTAGCAAAATGCTGATTGGGTAGTCTTCTTGCACCATAATAGATCGCCTGGCAAAACATAAACAACATTAGTTTCGGGATGTCAGTGTCCCTTGAAGGTGTTCTCTTTAATTTTCATCTGCGATGGTGCTTTCCATGCTTTCGCATTTCACCATCACAAAAAAATGATGCCAATAACTAATAGTCTTTTTGAAAGCAAAAAGGGAAGTGGCAGATGCTGTTCATCAACATGGCAAGACACAGCTTACCAGAAGTCGAAAGGCGTTTCGTGGAATCGCCTTTTACTATTTCAGATAAAGTAAAAGTTTAGGGGCATTATACGTATATGTACAAATGCTTTAACAGAAAAACTAGCACACAAGCAAAAGCTGTGTTCTATTTATTTTTTTTAAGTGGCAGGGATCAGTTTCTAGAAATATTGGCCTTGTTCTATAAGGAATGTTAGAACATTATTTTATGCTTCCGCTTCTTTTTAGATTATGACAGTGCTGAATTTCTTCCATTTTTGTTTTTTGATGTGCAGATCTGCTCATGGAGGCCTACAGTCCTCAAGAAGAAGACGAAGGGCAGTCTGGGGTTCGAAGCATCGACAGCGTGGAGGACACCCGTGTAATGTTCTATTCCCTCACACTTGCTCTTTTTCTGTAGTTCCTAACATCCCTATACTTCGTTTCACCATAACTGGTCGAACTGTGGAGGCTGCGGCTTCTGCGACCCAATAAGAGCGTCATAAGGCACGTGAAAACACTCCATGGTTGAGCCCACAGAGGCCTCGTTACCGCCACAGCAACAGCGCCGTCCATGACAAAAAGTAGTTCTAGGCTTCTTTTCCTTTGAATGGCAATTGAACTCACATGATGCCATCTCTATCGGCAATATACAGTCAAATCTCGTTAATTCAAACTTGCAGGTAATTCAAATGAGCATGCAGGTCTCATCCTATGTGTCTCTATGGGTGGAAACTGGGAGGAAACGCCCAAAGTTAGTTTCACAGCAGATGACCCTTGGCCAGCAGACGACAACCAGATTCTCCGGGCCTTCTATTTGGCGCAGCGACACACGCTCCAGTAACATGATGTCACGTGCCTCGCTACGATGCTCTTATTGGTTCGGAGGGGCCGTGACGTCCACAGTTTGCGAATTGATCGTGAAACGGAGTATAGATGCATAGCATAGGGAGGTTGGTGGTCAGAGTAGCATCTAACCATCGATTGCTATGGCAATCTTAGTTCAGAGATCTGCAGTGAGTTCCAGTTCACTGGTCACAACGACTGCGTCCGTTGTGACCACAGCGATTGGAATGACTGCTGTGCGCTGCATGTACACTCCTGCAACCGCTGCAAGGAATGCAGCAATTTTGGCAAACATGGCGATTGTCAGCACGTCAACCGCTTCTCCGTTGCTGGCAGACAGGTTTGAATAGCCTCAAGCTTTATTTATTTTCATTTTTACAGGATAGAGCTCGCAGCGTAAATTTTAGCAGCAATATATCAACATATATATAAAAGTCTCATTTTGAGATCACGTAGACAAAGCAGGCAGTGCAAATGCTAGCACTAATCGATTTACTTTGAGATGGAAACATATGAAAATTTCCCCCTTTCAGGCAGGAGTTTCAGTTGTCCGACCTTCAGCGTAAGCTTCCTACCTTCGATTATGCTTCGTAGTCTCGTGAACCTCTGACGTGCACACACGGACGAAGCATGGGTAAAGTCAATGGCCGCATGCTGGAGGCAGGAACATTTGAAAGAGACACCCATCCATTCACACCTTGCCAGTGACTACACTCTAAAAAAAAGCCCGTGAGTCTGCTTTCCCACACAACACTCGGAGAGCCAATCACCGCAACTTACGGAGGCAGCTCAGCGAATGACAATGCCGAAGCATATGTTTAGACAAAAAAACGCAGTCCGAGTTTTGACATTAAGCAATGTAAGCGTGACGTTTTGCATTGCTTAATGTCACAACTCAGACTGCGTTTTTTCGGTCTAAACATATGTTTCGGAATTGTCATTCGCTGAGCTGCCTCTGTAAGTTGCGGTGATTGGCTCTCCGAGTGTTGTGCGTGAAAGTAGATGCACAAACATTTTTTAGAGTGTACTCCGTTCACCCCTAAGCTGAGACTGCATGCAGTGGGAGCTATGTCTTCGTTGGACCTGTCACATGTGTCTTTCGCCATGTGATCACGCTCCCGCCCACACCCACGTGCAGAGCGGGGTGAGGTGACGAAAGGGAGGTGGCTAATTGGTCCGGCGGGCAAGTAGCTCCCTTCACAGTCTCAGCTGAGGGCTGAACGGAGTATGGGACATGCTATTTTACCATTGTAACACAACTTTGGTCCCACGAATAAGGAGAGTACTTCACGTGAAAAAGGATAACCTTTCACTATTTCCATGTTTGCTGGTACCATGTCCGTCACTGGATTGGAGGAATCACAACCAGAACACAGGGCGCACGGTTGTGCTTTCCGTAACACCCAATGGGTTTGTTGTTTCGGTCGTTCCAGATGCAGCCACTCACATGGGAGGCAAATATATATGCTATTTTATCAGGATGTACATGTTTCGAACATCAAAGGCATCACTTTTGCCTCTGACAATCAAATTTTGTGAGAACTTCTTTGTCCGACGTATGAACAATGCGCAAAACTTCCTTTCTTCTTGGGTGGAAATGAGCATAGGGCTGTGCGGACCAAGTGTCCTCTCTTCTACTTACACCACCCCATTTGACTAGATTGCTGTGTGTGCTGGTGTTGCAACTGCTTTCTCCGGTATTGATAATGTTTAAGAAACTAGCCGCAACTTTGCCTTGCAGCTGTCATAATTAGATATTTTGAACATATCTATAAATAAATTACATTTAAATTCTTAAAAATGAAATATGCCAAACAAATTCTTTTCCTAGGACTCCATGCTGGAGGACTTTGAACCCTCGGAGACCTGCGAGGTGCTGCTGCAGCTGGAGCAAAACCGCGAGCTGCCCACCCCTGTGCAGCTGGTGCCAGCTCAGTCACCAGCTTCACAGCATGCTCCAGTGCAGCAGCACGCATCGCCTGCCCAGGCAGCTGATCAGCCGCCGGCCAAGAAGCGGGCAAAGAAGGTGGGGCGGGCCAACGCCCAGGCGGAAGAGGGGTCTCTTCGGCGTATAGTCGAGGAGTCGACGAGACAAATGGCAAGTCGGGCCGAAAACCCAGACTGTAACGATCCTTTTAGGATTTATGGGATTCATGTAGGAAATGAGATAAGAAACTTGCCAGCCTGCCTCTGGAATGAAGCGAAGTTTAAAGTTAACTCGCTTTTATACGAACTGCACTGCAAAGCTGAGAGAGTGAGCAGTTCTCAATCTTCAACTTCCGAATAGGAATTGTCCATCACTACTTTGTGATGTTCTTTAGGCCCTAGGCAACCAGTGGCACTTCACTGACTAAATTTCTCATCTACAGCTGGAACGCCAGATGACCGGCTATACTCCGTTTCCCCTTATGGTGTACTGCAGCAAATGCTATGAGCCATGGGAGGCAATCCAATGTTGTGCGTGACCTTTGGGAAAGGTGCAGCGATGTGTGGGCTGTGTAGTCAGGTGAAGCATTCACAGCACTGGATTGGCTGCAATGGCTCGTAGCATCCACTGCAGTCAGTCATAAGGTGAAATGGCGTACAAGCTCTGGCACAGCACAATTACTTCAAACAGAGGTAGGCTGGCAAGTTTGCTATTTTTCGAGAACAGTCCTCATTTGTAACACTACCCAAAAAAATCACCTACTTCCCGAACTCGTCACACTTTGTTACCTTTCTAAATAACTTTTCATTTCTTTGTTTTCGATACTGTTCCTCGAGGCCACTTGGCGATTGGAAGTTGTGTTTTGGGGAGGGGAGGGGAGGGGAGGGGAGGGGAGGGGAGGGGAGGGAGGGAGAAAGAAAGAAAGAAAGAAGGAGGAGGGAGGTTGGGGGTTATTTTGCTTTTTGTCATACCTATTTTTGGCAGCCTTTTTAGATTGCTTTTGATATTTCTATGAGCAATGTACTTCCTGCATACACTGCAGGGTTTAATTTTCTTTTTTTCTCATACTCGCTTTCAATATCCTTTTTATATTCCTTAGATTTTGTTAAATGATTTTGATGAATAAACATCCAGTCCAGTACTCGCCTCTGCATTCATTCATTATTTATTTCGACTTTCACCGGCATTAAAAGACATTGCTGCATGACAGGGACACAGGGTCCCCCACCCCCTGTACAGTTCAGAGCACATTTGCCATGCTAAAAAAATATGCCAGCAACATGTTACATGACTAAAATGCCGAGCAACACAAGAACAGCAATACAGTTAAAATTGCAATAAAATTGGATGCGGCAACAACAGTAACACTTGTCAGAGCCCTCAGTTGCTCTAAAAAAGTTTGTTTAAATGGCGAGAGACAAAAAAGTATGGACAATTAAGGAACAATAAATTTCATTCAAAACCGAAACGGTCATGAGGAAAAAAAAAAAAAAAGCATGGTCTAAAGCAGAGTAGGAGATGCATTCCAGACCCGCAGGGGAGAATGGTGACATGGTGAAGGAAGGTTAAGTATATACACACCGCAGAGTCATTAAGATACTATATTTTTTCTGTGCTGTTTACCTGTTAGTGGAACATTTACTCATTTCGTTTCCACTTCCTTCCACCCAACAAGGCTTGGGTAGAAAGGCACATTGGATCACTTCAATATATTCATTTCTTTGTAGTCAACAATGATCAGACCAGTTTAATTAAAGGGCAACTCCGCTCAATTTCAAATATTTCGGATTAATGAGTGTTTTTGCATTAAGTGTCGTAGGGAAAGACTACGTTATTTGTGTCCCGAAAAATGAATATATAGCACGAGCAGAAATCTAAAACGAAAATTCTGCTCCGTCTGGCAACATTGGCCTCTGGCCGCCAAGAACATGGCTATAACGTGGTACGAGATGTCACATGATTCTCCACGCAACAACAGGCGGGATTGGGGTGGGCGTGTGCCAGGTGCAAGTGTAGTCTGCACTGCACTCTTCACCACGTTTTGGTGTCTACGACATTCGACGACGTCTGCACAACTGCGGCATAAGTCTGCGCACATAATGTCCGAAGTGTGGACGAAACCCCGAGAGACAATAATCACAAACGGTGAGACGACGACGGTAATAATGGCAGGGCGACCGTGGGGCTCCTAAGAAGCGCGCTGCGCAGGCGCGTTGCTCTAACCATGTGGACTCCGCTGAGCGCCGAGAGGAAACGTTGCTCACGTCACCTGTTAATTTGCACAGAGAAGTAAAAACAAGCAAAAGGGGAAAAATGTGATGACATTTAGCTCAATGTTGGTTATGTCCACGCAGTAGTCTTCTTTGACTGCTCTGTTGGTTGCACCTCAATTTGCTCACTCAAATCGTCCGATTTCGGCAACTTGGCGAGTTGCAAGGTTTGCCGGACCATTTAGGAAACATCAAGACGCAACTATGTCGTAATATTCGACGTGCAGTCTTCCTCGGTGATGCTCAAGAGGACTGCATTGTTTAAAAAAAAAAGAAAAAAAAGATGAAGCGGAGTTGCCCATTCAGATTGTAAAGAACACAACAAAGAAAACAATTCAGAAGCTTACATATGCTTGCACAAAAAGAACTCAGCTTTCAGGAGCAGAACCTTTGTACACTACATTGTACTGCCATGGTACCTCGCCCTGCGAGGAACAGAAGTATCTCATGAACTTGTCCCTCACTGCTTTGTTAGTGTCGGAGGCGTTGTTTGAGCTGACACGGCCTACATCCGACAGCGCAGTGCTGCCAGCCGCATCACTCCTCCACTGACCGACGGTTACAGCGCCAGATGCAGCTTCCTGGTCTGCGTAACCGACGGGGCAGTAGCGACGCTCCCCCTGCTCGCTCTCGTCACACACCCTCAGGTAGTTATGCAGGTTGACGCACGCCCAGACAATGGCCTCCAGAGTCTCCTCAGACGCCTGGATTGTTTGTCTGAAAATGCGCCAACGTGCCACCAGGATGCCGAAAGTGTTCTCAATTATCCTCCTGGCTCTGGATAGCCTGTAGTTGAACACTTTCTGCATTAGCTCCAAGTCCTTCCTGGGGTAAGGGCGCATGAGGTTAGTCAGCAGGGGGAACGCCTCATCTGCCACAAAGACAAAAGGCAGCTTGGCGGATGTATGGGGTAGCCGCCCAGCTGGCGGGAGACCAAGTCCTCCCGACAGCAGAGACTGACCCATTTCGGAGTCTCGAAAGATGCCCCCATCACTAAACCGCCCTGGCTGCCCAACGTCCACCAGCGTGAACTTGTAGCTGGCGTCGCAGCTTGCGAGGAGGACAATGCTGTGGAACCCCTTGTAGTTGAATGTGTCGGAGCCTTTACCAGGTGGAGCTTGGACGGCCACGTGCTTGCCATCCAGGGCTCCGACACAGTTCGGGAAGTTCCACAGCCTGCCGAACTCCGCTGCGAGCCGCTCCCACTGGGCAGTGTTTGGGGCCTGCAAAGTCAGTCAAAAAATGCTCTTGGGTAACTTTATTTAAATGCCACAATAGCACACAACGCTCATTATAGCCAGAATTCAGTAACAACTGAACTGTTTCACACGAGCAAAGAAGAAAGGGTGTAGCATCTGATGATTCGGAAGGATAGGCTTAGAAGAAACCTAAATTTCGTGGGTACATTGATTTACCAGCCAGATAATTTAAACGTTCAGAGCTTCCTCGATCATCCGCACCGGTGTGTACCGGGGCGCTGAGGTGCGCCTTGTCTTCGATCAAGTGCACCGGTGCGCACCGGACATACTCGATCAACGGAGCGCACCCTCCCGATGCGGCTTTTTGTTGCCCCAAAGCGCACCAAAAAAATCAACAGTGCACCGGGGTGCAGCCCCATCAGGCTTTGCAGCCAGGACCGGGAAACAAGGAGATGGCAGGAATAGCAGATGGAGATTTTGTGAAAGCAAACACACCTAACAGCGGTACTCTATGAATTTCCCAACCCTTCTGACAGTAAAGACGACGAGCTTCTTACCATCTCTGCGATTACCGGTGATTGCTGCAGTGGCAAGGAGCGCCCGAAAGTTACGAACATCGTGGAAAGCTTTGTGAAGCATTACAATAACACCGAGGTATGGCTATTGTCTGGTGGTACTCTTACCAACAATAATGGGCACCTGTGGAATTGCACTCTTACCAACAATAATGGGCACCTGTGGAATTGTTACTTGTTTCATGACCCTATAGACAACCAAGTCCACAATGCCCATTTGTGTAAAAATGCTAAAGCCACGAGTAAAAAGCCAGGAGAAATTGACAGCAGATAGGCACTGCCTGCAGACGTACACAAGAAAAACAAACAAAACACGAAGGGATGCATAGTGGTGCTCGCCGCGGTGTACCGGTACGGCGCAGTTTGTCCTCAATGTTCCACCGACTATGTGCTGCACGACCGAGCACTGTGGACTGTCTCGGTTTCAGGGCAATTCTGGTGTGTGCTGATCGAAGATGGTATCAGAGATATGTATTCGATGCGAAAAGTGCTTGTCATGACGTCACATAAGGATTAACATTTTCTTGAAGATGTCTACTCACAGGGCGGTAGAGTGGGTCTAGCACCTTGTGGAGGGCCAGGCACGTGTCCCTGATTATCCCGGAGGTCGTCGACCGGCCGATCCTATAACTGGTCGCGCATATTGCCTGAGAAGCTCCGTGAGCCAGGTACCTAAAATAGTGAAATGAGGGAAACAAATTCAGAGACAGTAACACATGATCATCTCAACTTTTAGAGCCGACTGGTGAAATGAAAACAAACTTAAAACTGAGTACACATTAAATGGTGAGTTACCCAGCTGTTTGAAAAAGAGCCGAAAAGAATGAAGTTATTCAACTCACCTGATTGTCAAGGACAGCCTCTCCGCTGGGGTGATCGGCGTTCTCCAGAACGTGGCTTGCTTCAGCAGCAGTGGCCCAACAAGGGACAGCAGGTGCTCAAACCTGCAGAGGAAACCGTTTACAGGCCGTCTCCAGTCCTAGCTGCTTCGGTTCGGGCTATAAAGTGAACTTTAAAAAATGCGCGCACCATAAAAACAACGCTCTTTGCCTCGTTTTTTTTTTTTTTTTTTTTTTTTTTTTACGTTATTTCTGCGCAGTATTTTACGAGGACTCGGCAGTTCCAATGGCAGCGAGCGAGCGAGGTAATCAGACTGTACGTGCCCTAAACAAGCGCCTCCTACACGTTGGCGGGCCTTCGAGCTATTTGATATGCATTTAGCATTGGAAAGAGTGAGGTACAGTACACACCTTTGCCGCGTCATTCTGAAGTACATGAAGAAGTCTCGTCCGTCGTCCAGCCGCATATCGCGGACGAGGTGGTGGTACTCGCCGAGGTTCTCCCGCGAACGAAGGATGAACCGAACCCATTCTCGGCGGGGACGTCTTTGGCGGCTCAAGAGCAACATCGCAGCGGATGACCGCGCGACTAGTGCCCAGTCAGTGCTGCTGCCTGCACGGGCAACATAAGCCCTCACGCAGCTATTGTAGGCGTACAGCAAATCGTCGTGGCTGTACGCCGTAGCCGAAACCTCCGGCTGCTCCGGTGAGGACCTCGCGACGGGAACGAAACCGTCCGCCATGTTTGTAAGCGTAGTTGGGTTGCTTACTATTGGCTAGGAGCAAGAGCTGAAGCTCGTTTCTTATTGGCTGTTGATCCGTCTGGTTGTATGCGGTTGCAAGTGTGTGTACACGTCGCGCACAGTTGTCGTTGAAGTCGCAGCGGTTGCATTCGTTCGTAAGCATAGTGGTCGCTCCGAACGCAACTGTGTGAACGGGCCTTAAGAGTTCACGAGCGCGCGCTCGCATATAATACCTTTGCA